ATTTCTACTTCTACCACCTACTAATATTTAAAAGGTATTTACTGGGACATGCACTTTGCCTGGACTATCTGATTTAATCACAATAGCATATTACACATGGGGAGGCCAAGGCTCAGAGAGTTTGAATAATTTATTCAACCCCATAGTGTTAGAAAGTGATAAGGTAAGGATTTGAACCTGGGCAGTCTGCTGAACAATGCCTGAGCTATTTGTTATTGTGCCTCTCATATGTTATGTCCGGTGGATAACCTAGTCAGCAGGACTTGAACTGGGGAAGAAGGAATTTTAGGCTTCAATATAATGATTGTAAGAATTTTAAGATTTAAGAATTTTGTAAAAGGACAGAATAGATTCTTTAATTTCCTTCCAGCTTTGTAATTAACTTATAGATTGGCAGAGGAAATTTCACAATACTCAAACAATAAAATGAAAACAGTATAAATAAATGAGTTCACCTAATTTCAAATTTAACTAATAGATGTCATTAACCAGGTTTTATTTTCTCGATTTAAATTGAACAGACTTAAAGACATGATTTTAGCATGAGTTGTTTAGAAATCTAATCAGGGCCCCATAATAGTTTTGTTGGCCTGGGATAAGTGGGTGCTCTGATCTAAATAATTAGTACTTTTTGCTTAATGTTACCAGATTAGCAATCCTGGTTGATTGTTACCAGGGTAGTTTCCTGCTTGTGACAGAGAAGCTATTATTATTATTTCTGCATTTTGTATGTGTTCAGCAGCCCAGTAGTTTCACTTACAAAACTGTCTGGTATGTGGCACATACAAATAAGATTTGCGTAGAAAAGAACAGCTGTGTAAAATATTGCCTTTGGAAAGGCAAATTTACTGAGGTAGTGATTATAGCGTATGAAGCTCAAGGCATAACCATAACAATCGTAGGGCCATTTCTCTCCCTCATGCAGTATTTTATGTCTATTGCCCTCAGAACAAGAAGGCAGTGTGCATTCATGGTAGCAAATGCTATTTCCCATCCTGTAAAACGGATTTTATTGCAACCTCCTGCTTTTAGTTACTGAAAACTTGCCAAAAGTCCTCCTTAGAAAGTAAAACTGAATGCTTGGCCTTTCTAAAAAATAGTGTTTGAATGAAAGAGTATTATTTAAGTTCTAAAAATGTGGCAATGCTTAATTTGGTATATTAGCCATCACTTTTACTTTTTAAATTGTTGGATTGTGTAAATATTGCTTAAGCAAATCTTGCATATCCGGACATTCCAGTTTAGAGACTACAGAAGGTAAAATGACATTTAAAATGTGTTCCCCCCACTGGCGTGCCAGAATTTAAACTTAGGTCACTCAGATTTATTTAAAATAGGCGTCAATCTTAAAAAGTTGATATTTTTGTTAAATTTTAGGTAATAATTTTGTTTAAAGATGATATTTGGACCTTGCATAGTAAGCTTTTTCAATTGGTGATAATGTACTTATATTCACAATCATTTTCCTATACATTTTTAAACCTGTGCTTTCTCATCTTGTTTAGTACAAACCTTGAGGTTGTCAGGGAGGATGCTGGTAGATATTTATACATGCTCATCTTTATATTGTGTTGAAAAGAGTGAGTCATTAGTTAGGCTTTCATTCCTTCAATGTAGTTCTCAAAACTTGCATGAATGTCTGTTAGTGTTGTTCAAAGAAAAACTTCAGCTGAATTAAATTTAAGAGTTGAATCAATTTGTGAATCAGGATGTCTCCCAAGCAGGAGTTGGCCCAGAGACTCTAGCGCAGACATTTGGTTGAAGATTTATAGACAGAAAAAGGAAAGTGACATACAGAAAATGGAAGTGAGGTGTAGATTGGTTACAGCACAGCATCTGCCTTATTTGAACACAGTTTGAACAGTTGGCCACTTTTGATTGGCCAAAACTTAGTGACTAACATAAGAGTAGGCCACAGTGTGTTTACACCTCCGTTTAGGTTACAGTTTATGATGTACAGAGAAACCTTCAGGCCGAACTTAAAATATGTAAGGAGGCAGCTTTAGGCTAAACTTGATTGAACAGTGTGATTTGTTTTCATTCTACTTTTAGTGGCTCACTTGTTAAAGATTTATACATTAAAAAAAAAAAAAAAAAAAAAAAAGAAAGAAAGAAAGAAAGAAAGAAAGAAAACCTCCTAAAATCCAGACCTTTTATTTTTGTGGTTGTTCAGTGTTGACAAAGCCAGGTGTTCCATAAACATTATAATACTTGGTCTTCATGGCAACACTACCACTCTGTCCTAAATGCAGAGCTCTTGATGCCGAAACACCACGTGTCTTCTTGATCAAAATCCAGCAATCAAAAAAAAAAAAATCAAGTATTAGATTGTCCACTTTCATCTAATCTTATAAATGCTTTATATCATATTCTTCGTCTCATAAAATATTCTAGGATATTTTTAAAATTAGTAAACTAGGAATATTGTGTAAAACTTAGGTGTGAGAATAGGTTACTTTAATTATACTGTAATATGTTTATTTAGACAATTACTTCTTTTAGTCATATTTAATTTTTGTTTCTCTAGCAATTGTGTTAGCTGATAGACATCATCATAAAAATGTATGTTAATGTTTTTTGGTTTTTTTTTTTTTCTTTTTTGAGTCGGAGTTTTGCTCTTGTTACCCAGGCTGGAGTGCAATGGTGCTATCTCGGCTCACCGCAACCTCCGCCTCCTGGGTTCAGGCAATTCTCCTGCCTCAGCCTCCTGAGTAGCTGGGATTACAGGCACGCGCCACCATGCCCAGCTAATTTTTTGTATTTTTAGTAGGGACGGGGTTTCACCATGTTGACCAGGATGGTCTCGATCTCTTGACCTCGTGATCCACCCGCCTCGGCCTCCCAAAGTGCTGGGATTACAGGCGTGAGCCACCGCGCCCGGCCAATGTTTATGAGGATATGGGTTATATCCTTATTTATATATGTTTATATGTTTATGTCTTCGTATATATATATTCTCTACAGAAATGGAAAAAAATTTTTTTTTTTAGTTTTATAAGCCCTTGTATTACACTGTTAATTTCGAAGTCTATTTTCAAAATTATATATAAATAGTTGAGATAATCATTTCTCAACTTTATATAAACCAGTAGTGTCAAATATTTAGCTTGAAATGAAGATATAGGAATGCATCTATTATGCTCATTAATAGATTACTTAGAACCTGGGCTTGAAATGGCTCAAGAGGACATGTCACTTGCTTTCATAGAGTCATAGCACCATGTTCATCCAATTCATTTCTACCACATTTTTCCATTTTGCTACGCTGAGTCACAACAGAGGCGAAACCATTTATTCTTTCTCAATTTCCCCCCCTTTGTCTCAATTTCCTCTCTTTTTCTTTTACACACACACACACACACACACACACACACACACACACACACACACATTTATCTTCCCCTCTCTTTTCTTGTCTTTTCAGCATTAGTTTTGAAAATATGGTCCACGTTCATACTCAATTTGGAAACCCTTCATAGAAATTATACACAATGACCGTTGAATGGCAGGCAAATTGATAATGAGGTTGTTGCTCTGCCCAGGGTATCTCCTGCTCCTGGAATCTCAAAGATTCAGTAGGCTCTTTGTATGTTTCCCACCCTCCATTCTTGGTTCAACTTCCTCCATGCTTCTGTGCACGGGAGTAAGACACTTCAAATGCACAGGCAAAGAACTCTTTCCTTGGGATTGGTAGCGGACCACTGAGACAGAAATAAGATGACTGCCTCCATGCATGAAAACACATTTTTGCCTTTTGTAGCGTCTCCCTTTGGTAGAATAATTTGAGACTAGCCATAGCAAAGTCTAGAGCTAGCTTATTATTTTGTTTAATATATTCATTTTTTAAAAATAATTGATCAGAAAACAATGAAACAAAAGAGCCTTTTGTAATGTTTTTCGAAGGGCAAGTTACAGTGTCACTTAATGGAATAAAATCAAAGTTTCGACAATAATTTTAAAAACTACTTTTTGTTTTAGCCATTGCTAGAAAAGAACTGTTAGGTAACTGTCTACCCTGCCTGATATTATATTAGAATTAGAAATTTAAATCTAATTTAAGTTTAAATCTAATAGGAGAGAGATTTCTGTGTTAATAATCTCTTTTTCTCTTCCCCTTCTCCCTCCATCCTCTCCCTCTCTCAAAATCTCTTTTCCTCTTCCCTCTTTATTGCTCCCTCTTCTCCCTCTTTCTTCTTCTCCCTCTTCCTCTGTGTTTTCCTCTATATCTATGCATATATACTTATGTATATATGTATCAGATATTCTATCCATTTATTACTCTTTTCTTCTGTACACAAATGGTCTTTGGACTTCAGTAGGTGTGAAAAGTTAGTATGAATATTTCTCAGTGATATTTAAAATATAATTAATAGTATATTCTCATCAATTTTATGAAAAATTTGGGGCACCTTTAAAATTTGGTACATTTTTCTGTTCTTTATTGTTTCCCCAGATTTTTTTGTCTCCCCTAAACAGATATTTTTTTTTCCCCAAAATAAAATTGACTCAAATAAGCTCTCAATTTTTAAACTATTTCAAAAATGAACTTTATGGAGCCAATCCCCAAGGGCATTCTTGAGAAATAGATGTGGCTCTGTTGCTGGGAACAAAGGTCTTTCTTCACTGAGTCCTGGTGTGATGTGTCTATGATATTTGTGTTATGACCACCAAGTCTATGCAAAAAAAAGGATTCCAGAGTCACTCTCTGGGTTTGAGAGGGATATCGTTGTCACCAGTTGAGATAATTTTGGACACAGTTGTAGTCATTTGGATAATTGTCAAAGTGACTCTAAAAATATTATGAGATGATAATGAGAAAAAAAGTTAGTATAATTTTATACGGTGGAAATACCTGTACCTGGTAGTTCTTTAAAATTAAGTAATGTATTTGATAAAACAAACACCAGCATTTTGAGTTACCTATTACTTTTTAATTGTGTTTAATTTTAAGGTTTAGGTGTGTTATGAAATGTTGACTATGTTTTCTTCTTCCTTTGTAGGTAACCCATTAACCCAGGAGAAACCAAGTGATCCTCAAGGCCGATGACAATGAACATATGCATAGAAGCTTCACTCCTGAGGTGATCTTGAAGATTTTTATACCACTTGAAAGAGGCACTGAAGAGTCGATTTCCAAGGGATTTCATGGCCTCTTCTTGAAATCAAGACTTTTTAAAAGTCAGACATGAACTTCTATGTCATGAAGATTTCAGCAGATTTGAACTGTGTTCAGCCTGTAAATTGTTAAAAGAATTTGAAGTTGCTGTCTGTGGAGCCAGTGAAGAGTTGTTTTTTCAGGGTGATGTTGGAGACAGTCACCTTTTGAGCTATCGGCTCCAGATGTGACTGCTTTTCTTGCTTCTGCAAGCTGTATCCCAAGGGCACTGTCCTTCTGTCCTGGATGTGTTCCTGGGTCCTATGTTCATTGGCTAGTGGGACTATACATGGCTTTAATGACGTTTCCTTTGAGAACTTTTCCTCTGGCATGGTGTAGACTGAGACAATTTTATTTATATCTGAATCTTGGAGCTCGGAAAGCCTACATGTTTTAACAACTTAAAGTTGCTTTTGTTAAAGGAATGGAAATATATATCCATTGGTAATAATGTTGGCAAGTAATAGTTATCTGAATACATCAATCATATAAGAATGTATAGACAAGCTGACATATTTCCCTAAGGCTAACAACACTCTGCTGCAGCTCTTTGTCAAATAGTTAGTAGTTAGAACTGGATTACCATTTTCATTATATAATACTTTGTACCTCTAGAGCACTCTCCCTTTCTGCTTTCTTTTTTTTTAAGTGGGCTTTTCTTTAATTTTTTTTTTATGTTTACTTTTATTCCCTTCACAGAAATCAGCAGTGAGCAGTCAAGTTACTGGATAGACGTCAGTTTCAAAAAGTTGCCAGGGATGCATGTGAGTTTCTGATTTCTTAGCTTGAACATTATTCACTTAGATTTTTTCTAGTTTTTTTTTTTTTTTTAAGCTGCCCTATCTCATTTTAAAAGATTGTCTTTTGCTTGCTCCCAATGACTGTTTGAATGCTTACATATTTGTTCAATCTGTTGATAGAAAAAATTGTTCATTTTCCTCAGCCTCAAATGTGTTAATATTTGCTTACACTTTTCCCATTTGAACAACTTGTTAGGCCAGTATTTTGTGACATTTTTGTAGCCATTTGAACATTTCTGTTTTTGGTTTTACAGGGAAGTCATAAATATTTAAAGGCCTTAAACATGTATGTAGTTTTTTTTAAGTTATTGTAGAATGTATAATTTTATACTACATTTATTTTGTTTCATTTGTGATATGAAAGGAGAGAAGAATGAAAATTGTGTAGCCATTCTGTAACAATATTGTATAAACCTGTAGTTTGAAGGAATGCAAGTGAGGGATTTCTGTGTTTTACTCATTTTAGACTATCCAGAAGATGCTTCTGAAATTGTCCTATTAGAATTTCCATCATGTTACAGAAGGTATGGGAATATCTTGTATTCTGAAAACTCACTGACATGGTCAATTACACATACATTGGTTTCCAGCCTGGAGGCCCACATGTACTGGGGAACATTGGTCTATTATTTCTTGACAATATTCAAAGACCAATACACTACTCAGACACTTTCCTGGGAAGAACAACTAAAAATGTAAAACTGGTTAAAAATAAGATCTGAAAAGTTTACGTCTCACATTGAACTAAAAACCACTTGTCTCCTAAGTTCATGAAATGAAATGACATTCTGCCTCCATTTTAATTATGCATAAAATGAATTAGATGGTTTTGAGTGGATTTTCACAATGGCTCAAGACTATATGAAATTTTAAAAAAGGAATAATGGTTGTCCTGGAGTTTCTGCATCAATTAGAATATAATTAATTTCTTTGTAACCAAGTGAAAAACTATACCTTTTGGAAAATATGAATTTGTCCTAGGTTTGTTTGAGATTATAGATCATGCTTCTCATTTTTTAAACTATGTTCTTTAACAACTGGAAACTCTGTATTATATACAAGTGTAATACATGCATACAATAGAAAAAAATACATGGAATTTCAAATATACTAACTAGATTATCCCCAGTAGATTAATGTTGTGACTACTCAGAAAAGGTGAATAAAATTGGGATATAAAATGGGCTCTCTTTCATAAATTACGTTTAGAGATCTGCTTTCTGTGTTTTATTTTAAAAGCACTTCAGTTATTATCCAGGAACACTTCTGAATTCCTGGGGAAGATGACATAAATTCTTTTTTTTTTTTTAAATAAAGATTCATGGCAAATTTTGCCATTTACACAAGATTCCAATATTTGACTTGCTTCTTTGCCAGGATACAATTGAAATAGATACATTTACACTTGTGCAACTTGCCATCTTGACTATCAGCACAACTGGCATAATTTACTAGCAATATGTAAAATGCATTTTATGAAAATTGTTAAAGATAATGCCTTGTTTATCTTTCAAAATATGTATGAAAATATTTATCAAAATCACAAATGTGACTATAACCTTTAAAGTTTTTAAAAAACATGTTATGTTTTGAAATAGATTAAGATTCACAAGATACAAAAATAGCACAGAGGGTTTCTTTGAAAACTTTCCCCATCTTACACAGTGATAACATTTTACAAAACCATAGAACATTATCAAAACCAGGAAATTGACATTGGTATAATATTCTTAATTCAATACAGACGTTACTCAGATCCCATCAGTTTCACATGAACTGTGTGTGTGTGTGTGTGTGTGTGTGTGTGTGTGTGTGTGTGTGTTGGTGTGTGTGTGTATGTAATCCTTTTTAAATTAACTATATATTCATCCATTGTAATATGCTGGCACATGTATTAGAATATATTGTGAGAGCATGGGCCAATGAGTGACTGATTTGTGGTCGTTTTTTTGAAGCCCTCTGTTTTGGAATAACATCCTACAGCTTTATTTTACTCTTTTTTAATATACACTCTTATTGTCTTAACACAATAGAAACTTCCAGTTTTAACATCATAGAGTACTATATGTGATTTCAAATATTGTATTGTTTTTAATGGGTAGGAAGAAAACTGAGAATCCGCATCTATGATTAAAATAGAAAATTTTATTTTGTTCCCTATTTCCCTCAACAATTCTTACACTATTTACAACCAGTGCTATACAATTCAACTGTGACTTTCATTAATAATCACTAATAGCATAGTAATTAATTGAGTGATTGAGACTTGATCTTTTCAAAGTTTTCATCGTTTTCTCAATTCATAGATAATGTATCCATATAAAAGAGCAATATATGCAAAGAAACAAAGAAATCAAATTGTATTTGTCAATTATCCAGCCCTTTCTCAGTTTTTCTCACTAATTTAATGGGGAGAATTAGGATGACACCAGACACTCTGCTTAGAGAAAGTGAAAAGTTGGGAGAGACATATACTGAGCGTCTTCTGACTCTGCTACCCACATAGAGAACTCATGGTGGAACATAAATATTTTTTATCAGAGTAAGGGTCTTTCCCCTCCACTACCCTCCCCTCCCCTCCCCTCCCCTTTCCTCCCTTCCTCCCTTCCTCCCTTCCTCCCTTCCTTCCTTCCTTCGTGTCTTTGTTTTATATAAATAATGCTTTGGGGAGAGAAAATTGAAATAGATATATTTAGATTTATTGCAGTTTTCTTTTCATTGCTTTGGCTTGCACTGTGTGAGATTGGGAAACGCCGTATAGACATTACAATTATCTGGCAATTAATTGACGGTTACTAAATTTCTACTAGGCACAAGCATGTCTGAATAGATTGAATTTTGGGGTTAGCTGAAGCTTAGTCTTAAAATGGCCTTTCAAATTATTTCAACATTTCTCCATGCCCTCTGTTTTTATGGCATTATCCTAACCAATGGGAAAATGGATACATAGAAGATTTATGAGCATTTTATGTGTATTTTGATTTTTTAATATTTTTCTCCAATATATTGCAAGTTACAAATGGTATGCACTGTACCTTAAGCATTTCCCTGGATGGGCTTTTTTGTAATGCAAAGCAATTGAATTTTATTCTAGAAGTTATGTGAACATGGCAGGGCAGTACATGTACTGTAAAGCTGTGTTTTACAGATTTTAGCAAAATATATGTGAAAGTCTTACAGAAGAGAGGTTGTGGGCATGCAAAGAAATTAGAAAGGATTAAAATAATCTAGGGGAGAGCTATTGAGAGTCTGAGTTTGGGCTATATGACTGATGAAAATGTGAAACTATGGCTCTCAATCCTGGTTGCAATTTCAGTTACTTGAGAAGCTTTAAAAAATACCCATGCCCAACCAACTCTCTGAGATTCTCTAAATTGGTCTGGGATTAGGGTCTGTGCAAGGGTATTAGACTCTAAAATAGTTCCACAGGTAATTCTAGCATGCATGCAGAATTAAGAGCCTCTAATGAAGGTTTTTGCCAGGGTTGAAATGAGATGGGTGAAATGATTGTTGAATGAAAGGAAGATGAGGAAGAAAACTACAGGAGGTGCTGAGCCTGCTAAAATGGAATAATAGAAATTCAGTTAAACATGAGAGAAAAACTTGGAGGCAATGCAGGGTGAGAAGCAGGTGGAGAAACAATGAGTTCATTTTTTAAGTCTATCGAGTTTAAAGTGCCAGTGAAACATTCAGAGAGATCATGTTAGATAAGAACTGAACAGGTTTTATTGGATTTGTAATTAGGGATTATTGTTGGCCTTGGAAAGAGCAGGTTCAAATGGGATGCTTGTAGAATTGAGATTTCAGTGGGTTGGAGAGTGAATGAAAAATTTGAAAGTGGAGCTAGCACACATAGACTTCTGTTTCAATGGGAAGTGAAAAAGAAAGGTAGGGTAGTTATGCTGATGAAGCAGAATTAAAAGAGCATAATTTTCTTAATAGGAGGGAAACAACAGTATGTGTACATATGCTACAATAAAGCAGACAGGGAGAGAGAGAGAGAAAAGCGTAGGAGTGAAACACAGTAATCTATGAAGGAAGGATTATCCATATTTAGATGGAAAGCAATACATACTGTATGTAGAATAAGGAAGAAGTTCCTTAGGAAATGTTATGGTATAGAACAGGGAAGAGGCATTTGGAGTCAGGCCTTTTGTGGCCTTCAACAGAGCAGTGTTGGTAGTATGATAGCACATGAGTCAAAGAGCAATCACCAGAGTAATAATTAGCACATAGGTGATTAACAGCTTGTGCCTGAGCTACTGATACTTAGACAGTTAAGTTGTAGCTCCGGGATCATAAACAAATAAAAGAGAAAAAATTAATTAAGTTCAGCATCCTTATTTATTTGTAAAATGGAAATGCTTTCACTGTCTACCTTATAGAATTGTTGTGAAGATTCAGTGAGTTAATACATTCAAGGAGCTTAGCACAGAATCTAACTATTTGTTAAATGGTGGTTCTTTCATTGCAAAAGATATCACAGTTCAGTTTGCTCTTCAATTGCGTAAAAATCATGTTGACAGAAAATAATAGATTCATATCAGATGTGACATAAAAGGGTTTGGGGCCAGCTGGTACATGTGCTGAATAAGAGAGAAACATGGGCAGGTGTTATATTTAAATCACATTTTTTTTTTTTTTGGAATTCTGTGGCTGAAAGGAAAGAAAACAAGTAACCTTAGTGGCAGACTAAGTGAAAATATTTTTCTGACAGGAGAGGCCAGAAGAGTTTATTGGCCAAGGGCAAAGAGTCAGTGGAGAAAGAGAAATTGATTTAAAAAAGAAATGGATCAACATCCTGGAGGAAGAAATAGTTGAGGATGGGAATATTAAATGGAAGTATTAGTGTGAGAGAGGAATATATACTTCTGTTAGATGAGATAAATGAACAAGGATGAGAGAAGCTGGAGAGAAATTTATAAGTGAGGTGAAGGGAAATAATACTTAGGGGCCTCTGGGCTGAGAGAATGACATACACCGGTCTTCAGAAAACAAGATTTATCTGTTGAGAGTACAAGGAATGGACTTGGGTTTTCCGCTCTTCCCAATGTGAGCAGAAAATGTCTGAAGTGCACTTTGGTGATTCTAGATATTGAGAGCTCAAAAGATAATGAAGGCATGATGTAGAGGATTCGATGGGTAGAAATGTGCCACTGTCCATCATTGTTGCAATCTGGACAGAACAAGGGTGAAAATGAACAGCTGGTATCATCTTTGTATGAAAACAGGCAAGATTTAAAAAATGGCTAGCCTCCCTTGAGTACTTACTCTGTCACAAGTTCCTTTTAGGTACTTTACATACATTATTTAATTTACTATTACTTGAGACATGCAATATTGTTATTATCATTTTATAATAAGAAAATTGGGGCATAGAAAGGATAAGTAATTTTCCTGGTGTCACATATAGTCAGTAGGAGAGCCAGGATTTTAACCTCCATAGTAGTAAATAGTAGGACATTAGTATACTTGCCTTTGAAAGGGTATAGCATGACTCAGAGGGCAAGTAAAATAGACTGTTTTATGAATCTAGGGAGGGGTAGAGAGACTAGAAATCATTTTGAAAGTGGAGAACAGTTTTAATAGGGAAGAGTAGTAAGGGAGGGAGATCCATTAATTCATTAACAAATATTTTTGCATTTCTACTTTGCACCAAAAACTGTTTTAGATGCTGTGAATAAAATATAAGTGGTAACCTTTACCTTCTTTTCAAATGATAACCCTCCTGGGAGGGGCAATAAACTGAATTTTTAGCAACTTTGCTTAAGAATCTTCAGAAAATTTCATGAAGCAGTGGAGCTGCCTGGCAGCACTGGAGAGAGAATTGGCTGAAAGTAAAATGGGGAGATTGTGAAGAATAGGGAGGTATAATGCTCCCAAAAGAAGCTTACCGTTTTGATAGGGGTAGATCATATTCATAATTATGAACCTCAGAAATGCCTGAGTATTTTTCAGAAGAAAGATTTCAACCATCAGTTTGTTTTCTAAGGGTTTATGTTTGATTTTCAGTGGGAAGTACAATTTTTTCTTTGTGTCTACCCATATTGCATCAGGGAAGATTTGTTAGGGTGGTATAGCAGTTACCTACTGCTATGCAACATGCCACTCCTAAACACGATGGCACGAAACAATAAGCATCTATCATTACTCTCAAGTCTATGTGTCAGCTGAGAGGGTCTGCTGGTCTTGGCTGGACTCACTCCTGTAACTGTTGGTATCTGTGGTTGTGCAGGAAGTTCTGCTGAGTTTGTCTAGACTTTTTAAAATGTGTTGAGAGTATCTGGCTGAAAACTGGTTTAGGATGGTCTTACCTGGAACAAATAGGCTTGAGAATCAAGTGGTGTC